AGGTTACTATTCAAGTAAAATCTGGTTAGTCAGTTATGAATGTTAAAAATGTATTTTTTAAAATCCAAAACATATAATTTTTTAGAAATGTTAAAAAAGAGAAACTCAAGGGGGTTTTTTTGGTCATTGTTTCTTTTGCTTTAGGTCAGTGCTAGGACGACCCACGTGTTCTGTCTTCTAACATTATTTAATTGGTACCTAGTATATGCAAAACAAGTCACAGAACATCATTTTGATGAGCTATTGCCATCATCATTTCTATCTTCCTCTCTCTCTTTTGTCTTTCTGAGATATCTGCATCTTTCTGCCATTCAAAACCCAAGTGTAGAGTTCCTATCTGCTCTGGATGTTACATACAACTAATATGATTCTCTTCTCCTTCCCTCTGTATTATCTCTATTCATGTCTTTCTATCTCTTATTCTCTCTCTCCTTCTCTCCTGAGCATAGTTTTCTTGGTAGTGATCTAAATTATGCTTTAGGAGACAAAGAAATCAGATTTTGCTAGTTCACAGCAGATACAAATCACTGCAAGCCCTTTTAGGGAATCACATGCTTCTGATATTTTTGTTCATATAAGCTAATCTTTCAGCTCTGTAAAATTTTAAGTTTAATTTCAAATACAAAGTAAAAAGCTCACAATGTGAAAGAAGTAATCAGATAGCAAGTCAGCTACTATTTCTTCAAACAAAGCCCTAAGTGATGCATCTTTCCCTTCTCTGTTCATGAATCTGGAGGCTATTCTTTAAAATGAGTTTGTCTACTCTCCTGCCAGGTAAATATAGGAAAAATTAGTTTTCTCTAATAGAATCTCATTAGGTACATTAACCATATTTAAAGGTAGGTCCCAAGACAACAAAAAATAAATTGTTACTTTTGAAGATTCTTATCTCATTCTTTGTCTTTGTGAAATGTTCATTCTAAACTTTTTTATGGTTTTATGTTCTCTTTTTTTAATTATTTTTAAATTTTTATTGGATGTTTTATGTACATTTCCTATGTTGTCCCCTTACCCCATCCCCCACCCACCCAGGAACCCCCAATCCCCTCACCCCTCCTCCTTCTTCTCTGTGGATGTAACCTCTATCTAGCCCCCCTCCCACCTCCCCACCCTCAAAATTCCCACCCCCTGGGGCATCCAGCCTTCATGAGGTCAAGGTTCTCTTCTTCCACCTATGCCCAGCAGGGCCCTCCACTCTTACATATTCAACTGAAGCGCTGGATCCCTCCCTAAGTGCTCCCAGGCTGGTGGTTTAGACCCTGGGAGCTGTGGTTGGTTGGTATTGTTGCTCTCCTCATGGTGCTGCAAATCCTTTCAGCTCTCCTTCAGTCTTCACTCTAACTCCTCTATTGAGAACCCCATGATCAGTTCAATGGCTAGCTGTGAGCATCTGCCTGAGGAACAGAAACTGAAGGAGGGGCTGTCTCAAGACCACTCCACCTGAGTATCTATCCCATGTGCAATCACCAAAGGTAGATGCTGATGTGGAAGTCAGGAAGTGCATGCTGATAAGAGCCTGATATAGCTGTCTCCTCAGAGGCCTTCAAGAGTCTGACATACTCAGAGGCAGATGCTCACAGCTAGCCATTGAACTGGTTTTATGTTCTTATGGGTCGTATTTGCTCGCACGAGCATGTGTTTCTTATGTTTGCCTTTGTATTTTCTTTTTTTTTTTTTTTTTTGGTTTGCTTGGTTGTTTCATTTGTTTTCCTGTTTGTCAGCTTTCTAAAGAGAAAATGAAGTAAAGAACATGTTGTTGAGTAAGTAGGGAGTTATGAAAGATCAGGGAGGAATTTGGGGCAGGAAAAAACATGATAACAATACAATGTGTGAAGAAAACTATTTTAATAAAACAATTTTAAGGTATAGTTCATCTCTAATAACCTCAGTAAAATTAGATAAATTTAGCATGTGCATATACTCTACTAGTAAATGCATTATCATAGAAGAACTATATTTATAGACTCGAATAATTGCTCACTGCTTAAGAAAACTTGCTGCTCCTGCACAAAACCTGGATTACCAGCACCTACCTGGCAGCTCACAACGATTTCTAGTCTTGAGAGATACAATGCCCTCTTATGGTCTCTGTGAGCATCAGGCATGCAAATAGTACATGAACATATGTGCAGGCAAACACACACACACACACACACACACACACACATATAATAAAATAGTAAAGTATTTTTTAATTGTCATTCTAAAAGTTTCTTTATATCTCCTTGAAATCCACTGATTTGCTTTCAGTCACTGTAAATGAGCTTCCATTTCATAGAATTTTTAAATATAAATGGAATAAAACAGTGTAGTCAGTTGGAAAGATTGATGTTAGATATATGTTTAGCTTCTAATTATTTGGTATAATCATTTATTATTCATCATATTTTAATAAATGAATATTTCATTTTCTTTATTAATCACTATCATAGCCAGTATATATGCCATAATTTCTCTTATCCATTTACCTACTGATGGATTAGAAGAATTAATTTAGTTGTAATAGCTATACTATACAAAGTACTATGCTATCTCAGCTACTCCTAAAATAATCTACAGACTTAAGATAATCTATCAAAATTTCATACTGTCTTCATAAAAACTGTTTAAAAGAATTCTCAAATATTAAAGTTACCTTGACCCCTCCCCACCCAAAAGATGCTAAAAGTACAATACTATCATGTATAAAATATATTTAAAATGCAATAGTAGTAAAAATAGATGTCAAAAAGCAGACATAGCAACCAATAAAATACTCACTCAGATCACCTGAATAAATCCACAAATTTATGGTCAACTTATTTTCAATTACCATTCCAAGAGTATACAATGTAAAAATAGAATCTCCTCAATAAAGAATTTTGAAATTGTCATCTATAGATGCAAAACTGAAAATAGGTCCTTATCTCACCCCTGATATAGGAATTAATAGTTTATCACTTATATATAAATCACTTCAAGGCACAATAACACATGCCTACAAAACTAGCAGTCAGGATACTTAGACAAAAAGATCTAAAATTCAAAGCCAGTTTTCATCACTATTTGCTCTGAAACTGAATTAAAGTGGCAAAAGAAACTCAAATGGGTTGTATATAATATCCAAAGACAATTCCCAAAAGGAAAAATAGGAAATAAGTTCATAGATACTTGTCTTAGAAATGATTAGATATGATCTCTGAAACATAAACTTTATTGTTTATAAAAATTGATCAATTCAATTGAATCAAGCCACACAGTTTCTAAACAGTAAAAAGAACAAAAAGATGAAAGAACAACCTAAAGCTTAGAAGAAAAGGTTCTCAAGTCATACATAAGGAGTAATTTTCCATAATGTAGAACTAGTACAAAATACTCAGTACTAAAACAATAACTGTAGTAAGTATGCACAAGACATAAATAAACATTTCAAAGAGAAGGAATAAAACAATCATTTATATGAAAAATTTATCAGCCAGAGCACCAAGAAATCTGCTGTAAGATTGCATCTCCTACAAATGACAAGGAAGCATCAACCATACTACCTCAATACTATGGGTGCCTAAACATGGACAATACCAACAGATATGTTAATATGAAAGGGGAGATTCTCACAAGGTTGTATCCTTAGAAAAAGAACTATATGATACTAAAAAATCCTGAGCCGGATGCAGTGGCACAGGCCTTTTACCCCAGCAATTCAGGGCAGAGACCGGCAAGTAAATGTGAGTTCAAGGTTAGCTAGGTCTACAGAGACAGTTTCAGGATAGGCAGCACTACACAGAGAGGTGTTTCAGGGGAGATGGGAAAGAGATAACATCTGAAAGGTAAATAAATAAAATATCCAATAATAATAATAATAATAATAATAATAATAATAATAAAACACATAATAGAACCAGATATTGCATTTGAACATTTGAGAGTTTTGTCAAGAATTTAGTATTACCCATATTACAGGGATTCCTTATAATCTTCAAGGACAAGGTATTGTGGAAGGGGCCCATGGAACTTTAAAACAATATCTTCATAAAATAAAAAAAGGGGAGGTATATCCCTGTACAATACAAATTTATTTAAATCATGCTCTTTTTATTTTTTAAATTTTTAAATGGATGCTAAGGAACTTTCTACTGAGTGTCTAAGGCACCCTTCAACTAGGCACACTTTTGCCTAGGTGAAAGGGAAGGATCCACTTACTGGCATATGGCATGATCCTGACCAGGTTTCTTTTTTTTTTTTTTAACTGTTGAATCAGTTTAATATCTTTTATTTTTTTATGACTAATGAAAACTAAATATGACTGTAGAACTTACAATTTTAAGTCAGTAGCTGTAACTTAAATGCTACTAGATTTACTTTACAAAATAGAAAACCCTCTCCCAATTACCTATCAAACACAGAAAAGTTCTATCATTGCTCCTCCTACTTAAAAAGTTCCCCAACAGTATCTGTTGTAGTCTACGGCCTGCTAACTGACACCAGAAACAGATACCCAAACTCTAATGATGGTGACTTCCACACTCACGTTCCTACTGTTGAGGCTTCTCTGGTAAGGAAAAGTGCCCCAGCTCTCTAGGCAGCCAGGTTTCCTCAGGCCAAATACTCAATATGAATGAATTTAAGAAGTTTTCCCTAATGACACAAGAGTCCCAGGGAATAAAACACCTTCTAGGAAACTGTGCAGTGGTGATGCCAGATGTGCTTGTTCTCCTTCTGTACACCCTGGGGGTGCAGGGACCCTCCCATCTCTGAGAACCCTAGGGACATGTGTGGCACATGATGCTTTATTAGGCCTTCTGATCTCAATTCAAAGACTGGGCATCCTGCCAGGGACACAAGGTTTGCAAGGAAGTCCAGAAGTCCCCAGGGCAGCTGCCAATCCGAGTGTCTTCCTCTCAGGTGAGAAACAGTGAGGTCGTGCAGCTGGTGAGTCAAGGGCTGACCTCCACACTCTCTGGCTTCGCAGCAGATACATCCGACCCACTATACCTTCAGCTTGTGTTAACGTAGCCCTCAGATTCTCAGCACTCCTCTTTAATACCCTGGCCTCTACTTTGGAATGTTCTGGTTCTTTTGCTTTTCTGTATATTCTTCTAGTCGAAGAAGCCACTTAGCCCAGTACTTAGAACAGAGCTCTTCATCCATGAAGTGAGGGTGGGCAGGGGACCCATCCTTATAGGCCACCACAATTAATCCACACTGCACCTGAAAACTGTAGTGGGCATCGTGGTTTACAGCACCCATGTACGCCACGACTTGTAGTGGATTGTCGTATGTATTTTGAATAAAAGGTTTTGGTTTTTCTGATGTTTTCCAATCAATGACACACAACTTGCCCTGGTACTCAGCCACGCAGTCCAGTAGCCCTACGTACTTCAAGGCCTCATGTTGGACAGCACTCTCCAGAGCTTGCACACCACTGATTTCTTTCAGAATATGCTGGATGCTTTTGATGTAGCCACACTGGGGGTGCTCTTCTCCCCCTTTTAAGGTCTCCTGGGGTGAAAGTATACTTTCCAAGGCTTCATGGAACTGTTTGCCTTGTAAAAACACATTTGAAGTATATTCTGCAAATCCATCTTCTCCCAGCTCCAGAACCATCCGTTGTTTCCATCTTTCCAAAAAGAAACTCTGTTCAGGTGGCATGGTCTGCTGAAGGATTCGGGTTACACTGGGTATCACGTTTCTTTGCAAAGGGATCTTCAAAGGATTTGAAGAACTGTCTGTGTGTGGTTTCATGGTTCTCTCTTCATTGAAGATAGGAAACCAGTGTTGTGGAACTCTTGCCTGTGGCTCTTGCTCTGGAACCTTACACTTACTCACAGGACCATAGAGTACATCATCTTCTTTGAACAATGAATCTGGAGTCTGGACCGGGCCTCTGGACAAGACAGAGCGTACTAAACGAGAGTACTTCGCTTGGTCTACTGTTTCGTACGAGTTTTTTTTCTTCTGGCTACACAAATAAGAGGAAGTGGAGAAACTCACAGGAGGGCTTGGTTTTACAGAAAATCTGTTTAAACGTCTAAGCAGCCAGCAGATGGTCAGAAGTGGTTTCATTTTTTTAGACTTTGTCCCTCTTTTCTCTAGTCTGTAAAGTTTAAAAGTGTGCTCTGTTCTTATCTGAGATGGCACCACGCTTTTACACCCAGACTGCCCCAGGTTTCTAATATGGGGAAGAGGGCATGTTTGTGTTTTTTCTGCAGGATGCTGAAGGAGCATGGTGGCTGCCAGAGTGATTGGTGAGACATACTGTTGCTGAGACAAAGACTGATGCTGACCTGTGAGCTTACTGAGTGCCCTGACAAGGGTGACTGGGAAGCTGTATTGGACATATGTTCTTGACCCACCATTGCTTTCCAGTATCCCAGATGGGGCAAGCTGCCTTGCCTCAAGTTTTTAGACCTTGTGGGACAGAGAATCAAAAAGAGAAGTTATAATGACTCTTGTATTTTCCTTAAAGGTAACCAGTTGTTTGGACTCAATCATGTACTGGGCTAGAAATCAATCCAATATTGGAAATAACAGTATTTATTTGGAAGACTGGATCTGAACATTTTCAGAGATATATTTGGAAGTTAGCTACAGTTTTCTATGATGTTGTGTTAGCAAGAGATAAAGTTGAGACAGGATCTGGATTTCAAACAACTGGTAGTGTATGTGCTAAGACTCTTTTAATTTTCAAGTTAAAATTATAATTGTTTCTTCTACAGCATTTATTACAAGTTGCATTCATACAGTTTTTAATCGTGTTAGTGTTGAAACCTGGCATGTCTGTTATGGAGGTCTATAAACCAGCTTTTGTCTTATTGCCCTGAGTATACCAAACGCTGGTTTTCTGAAAAAAGCTTGCAAGTACTGGAAGAAGTCAGTTAGGTTTTAAGCAGAAGTAAGAGGGCAGTGGGCTTGATTATTGCTGATATAATAGCTTTAATTACATTAATTGCTAACACCACTATTCTGCAATTGCTTTGACCTAAGAAGTTAAGACAGCTACCTTTGTTAATCATTTAGCAAAAAAAGAAATGTTACTAATATGTTGAGTATACAAGAGGATTTAGATAGGCATTTAGAACATAGAATTGATGCTCTTTATCTTATTAAAATTATTGGAAGGAGGTTCAGAGTTTAAGAGTAAGGAGCCATTTGGAGTGTCATGCCAAATACCAGTGGAGTTGTGTTACAAATAAAATTTACAATGGTAGTCATTATAATTAGGGAAAGGCTTAAAGACACATACAGGGTATTTGGCATAATTTGAACACATCGCTGGATGTTTTAATTTTGCATAGTGAGATTATGAATTTAAAGAATGCTTCTCTGCTGAGTCTTGATGCTGCAGATGATGCTGATAAAATTATCCATGACTTGAGGTCAGTATTTCCGTTTTGGTCAAATGTCAAGAATTGCATATATAGCTTGATTATGCTAGTCCTTTTTGTCCTAGGAATACTTTTATTCCTGCACATTGTGTGAAAGCTTGTCTTTAACAACATCAACATGTTGGCAGCCAAAGTACGTGACTTGAAACTGAAAATGGACCCCTAGACAGAGTTATTAATTTAACAGGCTGGCAAGCCAAGAATGAGTAAGATTCTGCACAGAGCCTTACTAACCTAAGACAGAAGTGCATTACTTTTGATACTGCATGTTCCACGACAGATAAGGAAGGCATACTTGTCAGAATTACCTAAGACAGGCCCAGTCTTGTTTATAAAATAAAAAGGGGGACTATGTGGAGAGCTTTTGGGGCTGCCTGGGAGGAATCTGACATCGACCAAGCCAAGGAAATGGGCTGCTTGGAAGGAATCTGACATTGGCCAATGACAAGGGAATGGACTGCTTGGCAGGAATCTGACATTAGGATTGAACAAGGAAGTAATTTCAGGCAGAAATCTAAATCCTAGGCTAGAACAAATAAATAATTTCAGGTAGGAATCTAAATCTTAGGCTAGAACAAAGAAGTATTTTCAGGCAGGAATATGAATCTTAGGCTAGAACAAAGATGTATGTTTCAGGCATAAAAATGACTTTGGGCTAGGACAGGAAAGTAGGCGCAGATATTTTGGTCATTCTTATAAGTCCTTAGAAATAGTGATCACGGACTTTGTTTACTGCCTTGCTTGTTGTTTGACTATTTGTGCTTATTGTCTTGCTTGTTCCTTGACTATTTACATCTATTGTATTGCTAGTTTCTCAACCTAGAACTGACATTAATACTTGCATGTAATTAAAATGGTATAAAAGCAAAAAGCAGGAGGAGGGATCAGATGGAGGTTTTATGGTGGGGAGGAATGGGAAAGGGGATTACATCTGAAATGTAAATAAAATATCCCATAAAACCAAGAAAAGAAAAAAAGAAGAGAAGAGAAGTGGAGAGGAGAGGAAACGAAAGGAGACGAGAGGAGACGAGAGGAGACGAGAAAGAGGAGAGGACAGGAGGGGAGGG